CTTATTTTTATAATGCTATTTTAAAAGGTAAAATCAAGTATTCTGAACGTGTATACGATGCCTGTATGGATGCCTTTGACTGCCTTCCTCTGGCTGCCCTGATGAACCAACAGTTCCTGTGTGTACATGGGGGTTTGTCTCCAGAGATTAACACTTTAGATGATATCAGAAAAGTAAGTTCTTTGATGTTCCAGGTTCAGTTTTTCTGTGTGCTTAAGCCATAAGTAGAAGACATTGCTTACCATGCTTCTTTGGGTAGATTTATTTATTTATTTCTAGTTTAAATGATTTGGAGTGAATGTGAAATGTCCTCTGATTTATATTTTCTTCCCCTTGAAAGGAGGATATAGTTACACTTGAACTCTAAAACTTTAGAGTTCATCTGCCATATGAAAAATTTTACTCAAAATATGAAGTATTTAAAATATTCCCTCAAAATATGAAAAGTTTCACTCAAAATAAGAAAATATATATTTCCTTTGACTAGGTAGACATTTTGCCTTTGGGAATTATCACAACTTTAATTACTGTGCATATTATGTATAATTAATCCACTTTTTGTTTCAGTTTAAAACAGTTAATAATTTTTAAAAGGCAATGGTGGTATGATATTGAATTTCTTGAGCAGCTCTGAAAAAGGGTTAACTTTTTAAGAGACTGTTTAAAAACCAGCTCAAAAGTAGCTATTAATATTGTTCTAGGCAGCCAAAAGATGAGTCAGGTGTGGAAGGGCATCGTGATTTTCTGTGAGATAATAATGTTATAATATAGAGTGGTATTTGAGTAGTTACAGTTGTGTTTGTAACTTAGTAATTACAGCAGTGGAAAGAAAAGAACAGAGAAAGAATAACTGAAAAGAACAACAATAACCCTACATATATTTCTTGGTGTCAAGATCCCCAAAAAGAGAGAGCAATGCTTCCTTGTATCATCTTAAAGTAACATCACTTAAATAGAAATTATAATTGAATTTCTCTCAAGGTCTGATCATTTGTTCGTATAAATGTTTATAACATATTATTTATGCTCGACAAAGAATATGTTTACCACCAAGCTTTCTAGCTATGATATCCAAGCTAACTGTTGTTTCATGATAATGATGGGATACTATAGCTTAGATCCTTCTTTTAAGACTTATGACAATATGCTGGGTTTATCCCAAAGAAGGAGCACAGAGGTAGAAATCTTGGATGGAGTTCACAGCTCTTTCATGCTCTGCTTCCCCCAAGAAGTGTTTGAATATCTGCTAACCACGAAAGATCCTATAAATATGGATAAATCATGACCAGCTAAAGGATAGTGACATTGTTCCAAAATTGCCGGTGAAATGGTCATTTCTGGTTATTATATTGCTCAAACCTTGTAAATGGACCATTGAAAATTGAAATATGGCTTTACCAAACATTTATAGCTGGAAAATGGATTGCATGTGAGAGCTTAAGTCAACACGATGAAGCTTAGAACTGTGAAATGAAGAATGACCAGCTCAAGTTGGGTTTTATTTCCGATTTATTATACTGTTTTTTGTACCCATTAGGTAAACTACAATAGTGCTTTAATTAGAACCTCAGACATCCCTCAGTGGATGAATATCCAGAATGTCATTGTCTCAACCAAACTACCATGTGTCTTTAGTTACGGTTCTGGTATAGCAAGTAGCTCTGCTTAAAATGAAAACCTCGTGTTCCCAACATTATCTTACTAAACATAAAAGTCGTAAGTTATTCATATTTCAGCATTACTAGTTGATGAAGCAGTCATAGGAATCTCCCCCTAAATAAAATGGAAGAGTCTCCACCAGAAATAAAGCGGAGAGTTACAGAAGCCCAGTAATGACCAAAACACCTTCTAAATTAAGAATCTAGAGAGAAAGGAAACCTAGGGTCAAAGGTAGAATAAGGGAAAGGGGATCAGAATTACAGAAGCAAGAGGACGGTGAAGGGTGCAATGAGTGTCGCTCATCAGGATGAAGGAAGAAAGGAAACTGGGGAGAGGTGAAGAGGAGAGGAAGGTGAGGCAGGAAGAAAGGAGGGAGGGAGCAGCTCAGTCAGTGGGTAGAGAAGGATGGGTGCAGTATACTGCTGGCTTCTTCTGTTTTCTGAACTCAAGTTGCCCAAGGTTAGTATTGTGCTCTCTGTCTTCTCTTCTTCTTAGTTAGACCGATTCAAAGAACCACCTGCTTATGGACCGATGTGTGACATCCTGTGGTCAGACCCCCTGGAGGATTTCGGAAATGAGAAGACTCAGGAACATTTCACTCACAACACAGTCAGGGGGTGTTCATACTTCTACAGGTGAGAACACAGACCTCGCCATTTGGAATGCATTTTGTTTTATAACCCTGTGATGTGTGCCCAGTGTTTGATTTATTTATGATGTTTGTATGATTTTCCTAGGAAACCAGAAACGGAGGTTTCACTTTGAGCCCAGTTCGTAGCACTTATAAAAAGAAAGTATATACACATGTGCATGCATGGACACAGGAGAGGCCTTGGAATAGCAATGTG